TCTTATTTTTAATACATTCGCTTTGAAAAGTTGCACATTAATTAAGAATATTCTTTTTGTCAATAATAACCTTATTTAATGAAGATAGAGATGAATGTTTTGAGAAAAATTGAAGAGTTAATATGAAAAGACGTAATGTATTTATTGGCTAAATAAAGGTAATAATGGAAAAATATGTACAAAATATCCAAAACGACATTTATTTGACAAATAGTTGATAAAGCTAGAATGACATTTAAAAAAAAATAGAAGGGGGTATCAAATTAAACTTTAGTACTTTCTATGATGTGAACTTTAATTATTACCGTAACACCTTTGATTACACGGGAGTTAGTTAGGAAAAAAAAAACTGAAATCCTTAAAAGAAAATATAAGAGAGAAGATTTTTTTATTTTAAATTTCAAACACATTTCAAAAATTATATGATTACAAAGCAAGAGAGAGATTTTTTATTTAAATTTTTAGTAATTTTTATTTTCTTACATTATTACTTATATTGAAAAAGAGACTTTTCACACATATTATTTGTCATTCTTATATTATAATTTTTGTAAATTCATATGTAATAACTTTATAGATGACCTTTTAAATTGATATATAATTTTATTAATTTTTAATCAATGTTAAATATTAATAGATAATTTTATTTTGTAATAATTAAAATTAATAATATTTTTTTATGTTATGTATGCAACACATATGTTAGAACGAAGCTTGTCAAAAGATAAATAAACTTATTTATTATTATGAAAAATGATAACAAATATAAGTGTTATTAACTTTTTAAATATATTTTGTTGTAAATACAGTTGACAACGGTTCCAAGCAAGGAAGAGGCTTTTATTAGTGAAATTTTAAATATATAAGTGTTATTAACTTTTTAAATTTATTTTGTTGAAAAAAAGCGTATCATTTTCCGTGTTAGATTTGTGTTGATTGTTTAGGTAGGGATGTTTTTTTTTTATAATTTATACTTTATGGTAAATAAAAGCTAAAAAATTTGAAATTGATATAATTTATTACCTAATAAAGATGTATTTCAACTTAGAAAAAGTTTTCCCAATTTACCTAATGACTACAAATTTAAAACTTACCTACCGATTTACTCTATGACTTTAGTTGTTGTTAATTGCTTTAATCGGCCTTCGTAAAGAAAAACTGATCGAGTGTATTTAAATTATTAAAACTTTATGTTATCAAATGATGTGAATAATTATATTATCATTAGTCATCTAAATCGCAATCAAATGAAATGAACCTAAGGCTAAACGCATATGAACATGGCAAGGACTGAAGTTCTGGTTCAAAGGAAAGCCCAAAACAGCAAATATTTCCTAATAAAAATATGAATTTTAAGAAATTTTTTAATCACCAACCAAATATTGTTAATTTCGACATAAGACTAGAATTTCGGATTATATATGTACCTAGGAGATGGTCCCGAATGGAACTGTTAAACAAAATGAGTTGTTCGGGAGCTCAGCTCGTTAATGCTCGATGCTCGACCTCGCATAAAGCTCGTTTCGTTAACGAGTCTGGCTCGACTGGACTCAATAAGACTTGAAAATACAATCTTTATATATTTTTCTTTAGCTCGACTTGTTTAAACTCGAAATCGGCTCATTATTCGTTAAATAGTCGAACTCAAGCTCAACTTTGCTCATTTATAGTCTGGTCCTGGCGTTATCTATTATGGTTTATTCATAAAAAAAGCATTTCATTGATATGGGATAATTCCCTACCATCGTGGGCTCATTAAGGTCAACGTGTTCCTTAATCACATATCAAGATCTCCTAATCATTCAACTATATATCTATTATATGTAAGGATGACACGCATAAATCGAAAAATAAATTAATCTTCTTACATATCAATTGGTAAACATATTAATTTGCAAAAGTAAGCTATTGCAAAAACAAAAAAAAAA